ATCTATGGGGGTGACAAAAAAACTCGGTTGTTGATTCTTCGATCGTCTTCAAGTTTATGGATGAATTTAAATTCATCAATAACTTTTAGGGATTTAGAAAGAGGGATAACCTTGACGAGATGATGGTGTTGATTGTTTGATCTTTTTAAGCTTAAGGATGAATTTAAATTCATCGGTAACTTTTAAAGATTTCAAAAATGAGGGTTTGCCTTGACATATGATAGAGTTCTATTATGTTGGTTAGATTTGAATCACGACAATATCTAACATATTTCTCCTTTTTACCTTTTAGATTGCTAGAGTCTGTTTTTGTTTTAGAGAGTGAAAATGGGTAACTCTAATAGCTTTTGTACTAGCAATGCCGAGTTTTAGAATTACTTTTCATTCAAAGCCCTTCAAATATCTCAAATTTACTCGATGAAGATGAGATTCTCCATTGTAAATGAGTTGACACAATTTAAACAAAATGTTGAAGCTTTCATTATCCGAATTCAAAATGAGGAGCACAATGGCTCAAATTAGTTCAGGATACATCTTTCTTTTGTATAACAAAAGGAAAATAAACTCATATAACGGAATATGAAATACAAGCAAAAGGAGTGAATTGCTTGGATAGTTCATTTATACTCCAAAGATCTTTTCATTTCTAGCCATTTCGAACGAGTAAATAGTCATACCTCTTCGGGTAATCAATCGGGGATTCATCATGATTTCTCATTTTATGCTCATTGATGGCTAGGCTTAACTTTCATAATGATATAGCTTCTCTAGAGACCTCATTCTCTTAATTATCTAGCACGACCAAGTTTTTACTTAGCTTAGTACCGACTTGAGCCAAGTTGTTGTGTATGGTAGCCTAGTACAAGGATAACTTAAGCTTCTCCCCCAAATGTTAGTTCTCCTTCTTGAGTGATGTAATATGGCTTTATGCCTCCATCATTTGCTTTGTCGAATCTTAACAATTGCTACATTTAGCGACTAGAGACATTTTTCATTTCATATTATCTTCTCTAAGCTTTCGTATTTCTAACCCTAAACTTTTTAACTCATGCTCAACTTGTCTATCTCGTGATTATAGCTCATCAAACTTAATACATTTGCCTTTAATTTTGCTTGAGCTTGGTGGCGAATCAGTTTTTCATATTCTTATTCGGTAGCTATACTTTACCAAGTCTTCAAATCTTGTTCTAGATCTAATATCTTTTCTTTATCTTGTTCTCTCTTTTTTTTCTTTAGCCATATCACTTGTCGCCTTCATGTTCTCAATCTTGAGTCGCTTAATTTCTTTGACGAGATCTTGATGGTCTAAAGGAATTAATTCGGGGATCCTCTATTCTTCCCTTTTTTTTTCCTTTAGATCGGCTAGGCATAATACTTAGATGGTATGATTAGCTTACTCCCTGGACAAGTTGGCTTGGACATCCATTTCTCATGGCTTGGTCGAGTTAGTAAGATGTTTATAGTCTTTTGCTTTATTTGCTTGCCACATAGAGTATTTCTCGATTACTCGCTAATTCATGATCAACTCGTTCCTTTGGCCACCATTCTCGCAGTTAACCAATCTTACAACTCGTTTAAGGAACTCAAGAGTAGTATCATTCTCAAGCTTTCCTTCAAATCTATTTAGGCCCACGGTTCTAGGAATGACCTATTCATAGTAAAATTATCTTGATACCATAGAAATAGCATAATAGGTATATCGAGTTGCCTATTAGAGGGATCCATAGTCATACTTCATAATAAGCTAGATATAGTTTTTTATTTATCTAAACTAGCTTCCATAGAAAACCTCTAATTGACAAACTTAGAAATGATAAAAAGCACTCTTATTTAGATTTATCCTTCCATGTATCACCTAAAAATTCCTTCAATGGTTCTTGATCATTCCACCAACATACCTTAAAAACCGATTTGTGGTGCTTCAATATAGTCGATTATGCATACAAAAACAAGTTGAGCACAACACCTCATACTCCTTTTTTTCAAACCTTTTACAATGACTTAATGAGGAAAAGGTTTTATCTAAAAGAGCGAGCAGTAGGATTTATGGAGTGCTTCTCTACCTCGATGAAAACATGGCCATATCTAGATTGATTATGCATGCTAATAAAAGAAAAAACACTAACCCAAAGATCATTAGTGCTAGAATTTTGATCCTCTTAGAGGTAGCGCATGGATCTTTTAATTTTTGTTTGAACATATCTAACCAACTTTCAAAGTGCCAACCTCTAACATTCTCTTTAGCCTTATCATGACTTATGCTTATGTCTAACCGAGTCCTCTACTCTTTTCTTGATATTTGATTATCTTTAATATAGAGAGACCCTAGATAGAATGCTTGGTATGCTTAAAAGCCGATGGTACTCCTTCAAGGTTAGGGTCATATTTAGTTCTCCTATAGTGAAACATTTGTATGAGGGGTCCTACAAATGAACCAAGGCTTTGAGAGTAGGCTTCTAAACCGATACCTCTAGTAACAATGCTAGATTCCCACTCCAAACCCGTACCGATCGTTAGGGCTCGGTATCCTCTATTAGTCAAGTAGCTTTTGAGTGTCATTGATCACTAACCGAAAGTGTGTGATCTCCCTATATTTAAAAGTCGATGTTACTTCTTCATTTATTATAAATCCTCATAATTTTGTTTAATTAAGCCACCGAGTAGGTTTAGACTTGAGTTCTCTTATCACTCATCCCGAAACATTCATGACCGGATTGTTTGGTCAAGGTGTCAACATATCCGACTTATCCAGGTGAATTTATGCATAAAAAATGGTCCTATAGTCCAGTTTTAGCCATTACATGATTGGATAGGATATATCTAAATCTCAATAGGGTCCTTTTTTTGCTCGACCATCAATTACCTATTATGACATGGTAGCTTTCCAAAAGAGTAAAGGTTTCATGAGTGTTACCCGAGGTAAAACCCATCAAGCCACTTTCTTCTTAGATCCTAAGGTAAATATAGATGATATTTAAAATTATGTAGTGTAGTTTGTGGAAGCACAACTCCATATCTAGTCTCAAAATACAAAATGAAGGCTAAAAATTAAATGACTAAAGCTGCATGAAAGAACAACATAAATAGTACTTATAAATATAGATACATTTCCACCACACAATAAGAAATTAAATGAATCCAAATGGAAGAACAATATAAACAACAAACATAAATACATATACATTTTCACCATAAAATAAGAAAATAAACAATCAAAAAAGCAACAATTACTAATTTAAATAAATAGGCATAGAGGCATAACAAACGATTAGAGATTAAAAACATAAACAACTAAATATGACCTTTTTGTATGGCATTATCCTTAGTGGAGTTGTCAATTTTATCAACGTAAACCATCACGAAAAGAGTCAAACAAGGAGTCGCCACATAACTAATCGAGGAGAACTAAAAAATCCTAAACATACTGGTCTATATGGATAATCTAGGTAAGGGGTCGGTTATGTATGAGGAAGATATAATATCACCACCATCCCGTCCTACCTAAGGTAGTTTACATTGTTTGCTTATGAATATAAAATTTTAGTTTTTACCGTGTTATGCTTCTATACCAATTTAATTTTTGTAAAAATATGAAACATGATAGTTCGGGTGTAAAACAAGATAGTTTGGGAGTTTAGGTCGATCTAAGGCCAATACTCCTTACCCATAGAAGAAAGGTGAATGAGGTTAGAATTTCAATTAGTCATTAATGAACACAACCTATTATCGATAAATAGGTGAGTTTCTAGAGATGGAAAGCTTTTTATTGACATGATAGTGAGTTACCGACGACTTCACTCATACAAGTGGGAAGACACCAACGACTTTGATTCATGAGTTTGAGAGGCTACCGACAACTTCATCACATAAGTGGAAAGCAATCGACCACTTTATTTAGCTTGAGCAAAAAGCATATAACTATTTTAGAAACCATTAGTAGCTTCGTCACATAAGTGGGAAGCTACTAGTGGCTTCGTTTTAAACAAACGAAGATTAAATAAAAATTATTTTGAAACCATTAACGGCTTTGTCACTTAAGTGAAAAGCCATTAGTGGCTTCATTTCAGCATTACAATTAGACACGGTTAATCAATTAACCATAAGAACAAGCATAAACATCATGTTTAGACATGCGAGTGTAAAACAATATAGTTTGTCCTTTTTACGAAATGTTTGCTTCAATCCATATTTAGACCTTGAATACTTAAATAAAATGCAAAATTTGCATTCACCCAACCACGCATAGTTAATCAATTCACCATAAAAATAAGAAAAACTTCACATTTAGACATACGGGAGTAAAATAGTAAAACAATGTAGTTTGTTCTTTAACGGCCATTACAACAATATTTTCTCCAACCACATTTAAACTATGAATATTTAAAAAAAATGCAACATTTTCATTCACACAATCAAATAACCTGAGTCATTTTTAACCCTTATTCAATTTTTTTTAAAAAAAAAGTGCAATGGTTTTGGAATTTTACCCAAAAGTTTTGTAATTTCGATGTCCGAAATAAGGTTAGTTTTACTTGTCTTCGGTCTTGATGAAAACCGATTATTCGGTTAGTCGATAAAGGAGAGTAATTGTTTATTGATAAAATATGATGTGGATCTCACTAAAATGGCCAAAAACATCTCTAAAATTGTTGCCAATAGTCGAGGTTACTTGTTGTAAATTTACAAAGTTACTCGTAACTTTTGGAAAATTGGTAACAACTTGTTTTTGTATTTTCTTGTCAAAGATCAATGTAAATACAATCTACAACATTCAAAGCTCGCTCCTTTCAAGATTAAACAATAACAAAACAGATTTTTCTTTAGGTTTTCTTTTTATTATAAAAAAGAGAGTGGTCGAATGAGGCCGATTGTCTAGTTAATGGTTGTAGCTATTGGATGCGAGCTTGTTGCATGCAATCGGCTACTAGCTTGCTATGCACATATGATCCGCCTACACACTAACCTGCCGAGCGTGCGCAAGAGCTACTTGTGGGATGGCTATGGGTGAGGTGAGGGCTAGCTATGGGTTAAGGCACGCGAGCTTAGGAGGCAAGCCGGGTGCGTGGGCAAGGAAGAGAGATTGGGATTGTTCACTAGGTGTGCGAGTGAGGAAGAGAGACCTACTTATGGAGGTTGTGCTTAAGGAAGATTGGGGTACAAGCCGATGTATGAGGGCTACAAGGAGGCCTCGCTAGCACACATTATTGGTTACTTATGAGGGAGTTCCGGCGAGGTGTGATTGGAGCACGAGCTACTTAGTGTGCTATGCCCAAGGCTGGTATGTGGGGCTACGGTGAGATTATTGGTAGGGATGGCTACGGGCAAAATACTACTATGAGAGAGAGTTTTGATGGTTGGGGCTAATTGGAGTACCGACGAAAGGTCGTTGGTGCGGGCGATGAATGCTTGTGATAAGTGGTTCGTTTAAGGGAAAGCTTCGGTTGAAAATGAGGTCGGCAAAGGAGGTGTGAGGAGACTCGTAGTGGTTTGTGATTTGGTGGCTATGGAAAAAGGTTTCGAGTGACAGAGAGGGAGGAATAGTGTCGAGCTGGGTATGTTAGGGTGACAATGAACAATGGAAGGTATATATAAATTCCATTAGAGTGGCTTTTATAGTTAGGGTTTTTTTTTTTTTTTTTGGCAAAAATTCGATTTGATCTTGGCTCTCCACAATCTCCCAATTTGAGTTTAATTTTGTTTTTTTTTTTTTTTTGATAGAGCCTTTAATTTGAATTAATTGGGACTTTTTTTTAATTTCTCCCAATTGTACCCTTTTTTATTTTAATTAAAAGGATATAAGTTTTGATTTTTTAATTAGGCCCTCAATTGCCCTTTTTATTACTTCCAAACCTTCTAATTTTTTTTTCAATTAACTCCCCCTCTTTTTTTTTTTTTAGAATTGATCCTTAGCTAATTGTTCCATTTCTTTTTCTTTTTCTTTTTCTTTTTACTTGGCATTTTGTTTTGTTTACCATTTTTTCACTTTTTTTGTTGCTCATTTCATTTTTTTTTATTTTCATTTTTTTATAGAGCTAAAAATTAAAAAGATAAAAACATGGGTGATAACGTTAATGATAAAAATCTATACCGATTTTCAAACATTTGCCCATCGATTGAGTGATTTGGAATTTGGTCGGTCTAGGACCTCTTCCTTATTCCGTAATGAATGGCTAAAAAAATAAAAAATGACATGATGAATTTAATGATATGTGACTAATGCGACCTAAATGATATGTGTGAAAACAAAACTTAAAAATTAGCAAAGAGGCGAGAAAAGGCAAGATAGGTAGAGTATGCAAAAATATGTAAATAAGCAACATAGGAAAAAATAGGCACATAGGCAAAATCAACGGATAAGCAAATATAAAATAGAAAAATATGCAAATTATACAAATAGGTAAGTAAACAAAATAGGAAAAATAGATAAATAGGCATATAGGCAAAATAGGCAATTACACAAATTGGAAAATATGCAAAATAGGAATAATAGGCAAAAATAGACAAATGAGCAAATAGACAATTAGGAAAATATACAAAATATGCAAAAATAGGCGGACGGCAAATGACAAATAAGCAAATAGGCAAAGTAGCAAAACGACAAAAATGGTGAACTTGGCAAAATTAGCAAAAATCATTGAAGTTGGCAAAAATGATTACAAAATTGGTAAAAATGATACAAGTGGCAAAATTGGTGAAATTAGCAAAAGAAATGACAAAGATGACCGAAAGCGACAAAAAAAGGGCATAAATAACAAAGTTGATAAAGTCGGTAAAAATGGCAAAAACAATCCGACAATAGGGTTCGGATCGACACAACTTTGAATGTCATGATTTTTAACCAAAATCAATAAAATATCAAATTAATCGTCACAACGTGCCACAATGGTCCGAAATGAGGCTCGGACCAATGTAGCTCGAAATCACATTTTTTAAAGACAAATTAGCATAGTATCAATCAACCATTGCAATGGGAAAAAACGATCCTAAAATGAAGTTCAAACCAACACAATTCAAGAATCATATTTTTTAAGCGAATTGGCGACAACATCAATATTAATCGATATTTGACAAAAATGGCCTAAATAACAAGAAAAATTATATTTTTTAGATAAAGTTAGCAATTGAGCAATTTCACAATACCATCGGCAAAAATAATTCAAAAAATATGATTTGAACCAACGGGAAGCAAAAATCACACGTTTTTTAAGAACAAGTTGGCACAACTCGGTTAATTATCACGATTGGCAAAAGTAGTCCAAGATTGAGATTCGAATGCACGTAAATCAAAAAAATCACACAAACAATAACAAACCATGCAACCACATCAGCAATCATAAACATTAACCAAACTAATACAAACACAATGATAGTTTAATTAAACCATATACACAACAACAGTTTAATCAATCATACATAAGCGACCATTTAATTAATTTACACGAAATAGTGATTTAATTAATTACAAACATATCAACATGAATTAAATGTAATACACATTAAAATGAAATAAAATAAAATAAAAGGTAAAAAATAAATTTTTGTAAAAAACGGAATGAATATGATCTGTCGAATTAGGGTCATATCTACTCTTTTCAATCCCGATAGAGACTAATCTTCGATCAATCAAGGAGGAGAGACAAGCTGTGTTAGTGTAGGTGCCCAAGATTTAATCATGTTTGGATAGATTTGAGTTATTGTATCATTGCATGATTTATAATAAAGAAGTCTTTCTATTAATTCTTGTCATTTACATTTATTGATTGAATAAGATTATATAGAAGTCCATATGATATGTATTTACATTAGTAATTCATCGAAAGATGTGAGACAAACACTAATGTATATAAATGATATCATTAATTATCTCAAGTCCTAACATTGTCAAGAATGGACAATAATTATATACGATTAGACTTGTGAGTGTTATGCTCATGCTATATAATAGCGATGAAGAGATCTCACATCTATTGGCATGATGATGCTAAAGCAAGCACTTAGGTGATTTTTGTTAGAGAACATATCACCTGGACTTGACTTATCATGAGAACCTATTTGGTTTAATCTATGGGAATCTCATACGAGATGGGTATAAGTGGTTCTTAGACTTGAAGTATCACGGTTATCTCATTAGAGGATTTATGCACTTTGACACTCGTTTTGATAGACCTGGTAAAGGGTTACACATGGGTGATTCGTTGGGTGCACTAGGAATCTAATGGGGGTAGGTGTATGACTAAGATAGGATATATCATTTCTTGTATGCTAAAAGAGTTATCACATTGTACTTCGATGAATGTCCGCTCAAAAAATTTATGGCCATAATATGAGTACATCAATAGAGCATAGTTGGTTGACTCTAAGAGTTAAGACATTTGAGAATTGAAGAAAACTTATGTGATCATAATCGAATAAGACTTATAACCAATTTCAAGATCACACTCGTAATAAGTTGATATGAGGACTAAATTGTATGTAACCATGCTTGTGAAAGGTAATAATAGATTAATTAATCCTCTTAGATAATTGGATAGTCATGATGTCTTGCTAGAGGTCAATCTTGATTTCTTTATTGATAGATAAAAGAGAAATCTTTTGTTCTCGATACATTACCAATATATCTAAGAGCCTATTCGATCATACGTATAAGTTTAAGTATTCACATGATTAAAGAGAAGCAAAGACATTGGAAAAAGTTTTCAATTTTAGAAACAATTTTGAAAGTTTCCTATATTGGAAAAAGGTTTCCAAAATGGAAAGTTTTCTAAAATGAAAAGTTTCCTTAAATGGAAGTTTTCTATTTTAAAAATCAGTTTCCTAATTTGAAAGTTGGTTCTAAATTTGAAAGTAAATAACCTAAAATGGAAATGATTTTCCTAATTTAAGTTAAAGTGTATTTTAGGAAATTATTTCCTAATGTGGGCCACCTAAAATTATTTAAGATTATTTATTTGGCTAGTCCAAATAAATTAATTAAGCAGAATAATTTTGGCCCAATAGATTTAATTAAAAGCTCGAAGATATTTTGATGGAAGGATAAACATCAACCTTATTGGATAAAGATGAATGCTTTAAAGATAAAGATCAAAAAGCCCACATGTAAAATAACTCCTAATCCTTAAAGTCATTAAGGGACTCATTGCTAGTCCCTCCTTGTCGTTGGAGGACAAGGAAGTCTCTCCTATAAATATATGGGTTTAGAGAAAAGTGCTGCAGGTAAGAAAAGAGAGGGAAGAAATTCGACAAAAAGAAAAAATGTCTCTAGAGTACACGGCGAAAAGCAAAATAAAAGGAGAAAATAGTTTTCTCCTAAAACCCTAATACACGCCACTTTTTCTCTTCTTATAAGGTTGTTGCAAACTTACTTGGATTAGATTTACGTACGAAATACTACATAAATTAGAAAAGGTAGAGCTAGCACTCTACCAATTTTGAATGCTTCTTTATGAGTACTTGACTACGTGGATCAATAATAGAGGTTAAATACTTGGATGATTTTCTGTTGTAGAATTTATATATGCTTTACGAGAGGTAATTCTCGTTCATTGCTTTAATTCATGTATATATAATTAGTTGACTCAACGACATGATCGTTGGCGCTTTAGATGGAGGAAAATTTTTGTTTATTCCGCATCTTCATAGGATGTATGATCCTTTCGGACAGCCCATTGTAGATCTAGACCCGATGTGGGGTGAAGCAGCTATTAGCTATCGGATCGGGGTTGGTCAGTTGCGATGGCCGGTGGGCGTGGTGAGCGTAGGTGTGGCTCTCGACGTGGCATGCATGCGGACAAAATGGTGGCTGATCAAAGGCTGAAGCTAAAGGCGTGGAACGGTGGCTGAAGGACGTGGTGCACACGCAAGTGTGGTTGCTGGAAAGTACGTGTGCGGACAGAGTGATGGCTGATCGGAGGCTGAAGTTAGGGAAGAGAAAGTTTGTCAAATGATGGAGATTGGTTGGATTGGGTAGCTGCTAGTGTCGAAACGCTGCTGGAGGTGGTACAGGGCTGGATCATGCAACTGGAGATGTTGGGACATTGTTGCAAGCGGTTGTAACAGCTTAAGGAAAGCTGGATCGAAGGTGGGGATTGCTGGATGTTGGTGGAGGAGCTGGACGGTGGGAGATCAATCGAATGGGCTTCTAACGATAGAGATTGGCTATTGGAAAGGCTAAAGGGGGGTTGTTGGCAACGAATATCTGATTATAGACATCGACGATGGTGGCTTCGAACGAGGAGAGGCTATTTGCTAGATTTTTTTCTAGAGAGTGGAAGTATGTGGCTGGATTTTTTTAAAAGAGAGAAAGTAGTCGGAGGGGAGGAAGAAATGGGGTATTTATACTAAGTTTTTAGAGTTTTTTTAACAAAGTTTTGTTTGGTCTCTTATCTCACAAACTTTACTTTATTTTTATCCTTCTCTCTCTTTTTTCAATTATATCCCTTAATTGTATTTTTCTTGAGTCATTTTTCTCTGTTTTTTTTTTTTTTTTTTTGGCTATATGGGTGCCTAAATTATGTTTTGATTCATTTATGACTTGCCCGATTATGTAAAAGGCATGAGCAACGGAACCACTCTTGACTTCAGATCATTTGTTTTTGCCTATGTATGCATTCATGGGTGGTCCTCAAACAGAAAACATGCCCATGCCTGTGTTTCATTTTAAGTGTTCGTCTTCGGCAAAGATTTTGATTACACTGATCCAAAGAAGCAATTAACTCATAAGAAATAAGTAGCAAATTCAGAAAAATATGTGCCTACATATGCTACTGATAAGAGTTGAAATATAACTGGGTTCTTTACAACTTTGGCCATAAAAGAAAAAATACATTAGCTGTCTACTTCTACAACTCTAAAAGTTTGTAGTGTAAAGCTACGAAAGATAAATAAAATGCTGTCCTTCCTACCCATCAATGCTGCCATATTTTCCAGCTGCTGCCTATACAGATGTCTATAGTTTTCTCTCCCTATGGCTTATTTGAGAGTGGCACCGAAATAAACAAAATGACATTAGACAACTTTTGCTTGCAAATAAGTGCAGAACCTTATTCAGGCTAAAATGGAGAACCGAGTAACCCAACATGAATCCAAGCTAAAAGTCCCTGTCTTTTTTACATTTGAAGCCAACCACTTATGTTTACCTATGAGTGGTTGTAGGCGGCATTGGATATGTCATAGGACCCATGTTCATCGGTGCACCAGGAACCATTGTTCCTGGTACGGGAGCTCTAACACCGTAAGCCATGTGTGCTGGGCCTGGAAGATTCACTGGGGTGCCAACTGCTGAAACGAGGGGACCTCCTATAGGCTGACCTATAGTTGGAGGACCATAAATACCAACTCCTGTGGGGGCAGTTGGGTGTGAAGGAGGTTGTTTAGCTCCTTTGCCCGAGGAACCTCCCGCTGCAGAACCATTTGTTTGACCAGTTATTGGTCCTTGAGGTGTTGCAATGTCCCCATTGCCAACACTGGTGATATCATGAATGCTGGAGCGCCTCCTATCTTTGTTCATTGAGTTGAGACGAATGAAATACTTCTGAGCATGGCTTGCTACTTGGGTAGGTGTTCTTGTCACGACAAAGTTTCTTGATATACTTCGCCAATCACCCTTTCCATATTTGTCCAAACCAAGGAGAAATAACCTGTTCATCAGAAGGATACAGAAGTTAATACTAACAGCAAAATTCTAATATGTCATGGTTAAATGTTTTTACTAAGTGCGTTAATTGAAAGAGAACATGTACATTGCCACAGAAGAGAGCTGAGGAAAACACAGCACATGTCCTTCAGTAAGACATTAAACGTTTTCCGATTCAAGAAACCATACAACTATAGCTCTTCGACAAAAACTTATAATACAAGCTCACATCTTCCTCTAATTATTTGCATGGTGTGGGGATATAAAGTCTCACAAAGAACAAATGGAGCCAGATACACTAGTGATGGAGACCATAATTTTTTAGCATGCCAGATATGACAAGCTGAGGAAGCAACTGCGGGAGAGTTACATTAATGAGTTGGAACACGAGTTTCCCCAAGAAACTCCAACGCCCCAAGTTATGAAAGGAAGCACAAAGTGGAGATTAAAATTTTTTTGAGACACATCTATCTTTTGAAATAGTTGAAGACTTCAGTCATCATTTAAACATTTAAGAAATGATAGCAGCCCCCATTCCAGATTCAGCCCACATCACCTCTTCTGTTCACATGCACCCTAAACTTTTGCAAACTTCAACGGATGAACCCTAAACTAACTAATTAGTTAATTATGATAAAGCAGGCTATGAACCAAAAATTATTAAAATCATATTAAAGGGATATAGATATTGCAAAGCCCACATTCAAAATAAATTCAATAGAAACCATAAGAAGTAAGACGAACTTTGCATATTCAAGGCAATCTTTACCTCAGAATTATGTTGTTAGATTCCAAACTTCCAATTACAGTCACAAAGAGGCCATAATCACAAGCAAAATGTGCAATTGAAGTTAGCTTTGCTTCAAAGACCTGAAGGAAAAATGAGGGGAAATAAAAAGAAAAACGAAAGAAAGTGATAATCCCACAAAGCTTTCTAGGAATCTCCCCTAGCAGAATCTTACTGGACTTAGACCGTTAAAATGTCCACAAATTTATGCAACAGTATTCTTCAACCAATTTCCAATTGTTGTTAAACTCCCTTGTACTGTAACTAAGCCGACATTATCTGGGCTCTCCTTGTCTCATCATTCAAAGAAGAAAGACTTTCAATAAGAAACTGTTGCAACAACCATAGATCTAGAGGAATTTTGATTGACAACTTAAAGGAATAAGACTATGGGTAAAAAAAAAAAAAAGAAAAAAAAAAAGATAAGAAAATCATAATAGAAGCTGGAGGCTACAATAGCTTCCAAACACCCCAAAACCAGTAAAGCAAGTCCATTTTGACCTTATAATGCATGCGGTCCAGATGCAAGAGAAAATCCTTGTAACCAATCCACCAACAGAAAGCATCAAAATGAACTGTCAGTTTGAGCCAAAAACACATGTACAAATAGCTCCACTACTAGCCATGAGACCATTGCTTTAGTCCTCCCCCATCATCTTGGTAACAAGCTCCATTACTTGTTAAAAGATTTCTCAGAGGTGATCTTTCCAAGAGATGGAAGAAAAGAAGTGAAATGACTCTGACAACAAAGCTCCATAAATTTGCAAAAAACCTCTCCAATCCTATGTATTTGATTTTTATGATTTTCCCTATTCAAGAATAATAAGACAAATTTACCCGAATGCATCTAATACCATGTGGATGCCAGTGTGGAAGCATTGATCACACTAATTTGCATGAATTTCCAACCTCATCGCTAAAGCCTAAATGTCATAGGGTTCAAACAAATAAAACATCCAAAAAGCATGAAGGACTATATCACATGTTAATGAACCATTCCAAGAAGTAATTTGGTGCTTCACAACAAGTTCACATGTTTTAAATCTTGTTGAAATATTGAAAGTGTTCGTATCTCATTTGAATACTCTCCCCTCTATCAATGGTCTTAAGAATTTATCCAATGCTAAGGTACAGCCCAATTAGAGGGAAGCCTAAAACAAATGAGATGCGAACACATTTAATATCTTATCCAACTCCAAGGTGTTGAACTATGAATAAAGTACAAACTTGAGCCACGGATTTTGTACTTTTCTGTTCTAGATAGAAAAGCATCTAGTTTCAACAGGAATAGTTGTATTAAGGCTAGGCTACGGAAGACAGATAGCATTCCAAATCTCCGATTTTAAAGTGAAAATTCTTCAATTGCTCTGTCAACGGGAGTAGCTCAATTAAACAAACAATGCAAATCCTTATTTTTTTCATTGTTCTTTAATATTACTATTATTGCTATGAAAGAGAATACAGAAAAGCAAACTAGATCCCTATACCTATTAATGATGCACAGAGGAAAGATTCTAGTTCATACATCTTCGAGCTTCCATTTACCAGTTCGACACATTAAGGTGCTCATCTAGTGGAACAACTTCCTAGACAATCAGCCCTATCATCTTAGTTATTCTCTGGAAACTGAATCTACATAAGGTTTAGCGATGCAATTCAATTAGTCTTATTGAGTTGCTTTAGATTGAGAATCACTAGTCATTTCAGCCTCCTACAAAATTGAGGACCTTTCATTTCCCCAATCCCTAGACCAGCATCCTCAATTGTTGCAGGTACAACTATGTACTAACTGTTTTGAAACAAATAATCCAAGGCAAAATATGAGGCTGAACACAATTCATATAGGAGCACACTGACGTAAAAGAGAATACAGGCCTAGCACATCCTAAAAATCTCCAAAATCAGGTTCAGATCCCAAACAAACACAATGATGAAAAGATTACTACACGATGTTACTCTCATGGTTTGGAATCACCTCTTATCATCCACTTCCTATCATCTCAAGATTTCCTAAACCCATGGATTTGATCACTGATTAGTTGGTCTCATGGTACATTTGGCAGAAAATGCATAGCAGTAACAATTTGAGCAAAGTCGAAAGAAAACCAAAGCTTGCAACAACTCAATCAGCAATAATCACCAGGGCACCTTGATATGAAGATAAATAAAATGATAATTTACCTGTGCTCATCCTCAGTCCAAGCAATTCCCTTACGGCGTTCCTGATCTGACCTTGAAGCTTTATTTCCATGATTGGACTCACTATTATGATGCCCTAAGTGACCACCCTTCTTTCCAGTTCCTTCATCACCAGCATGACTCGTTGAACCTTCTGAAGAAGAACTATAACAAGGTAAAGGCACACAGCCAGCTTCAATCTGGCTAATATCCTCAACCAGAAGCTCATGGTGATGTTTAATCTCTTCTAGAGTTTTCCCAGGTACATCAGCTGCAATTTTTTCCCATCGATCTGAAGCATCTTCAGGATAAGTAGCGAGTGCATTCTCGAATGCCTTATCTTGTTCTCTAGTCCACAGAAAACCACTGCCCCCTTCATCCACAGACATCTAGCCTTGTCTGAATTACCTACAGCTAATATCACTCACAAAGATGACCAAAAGATATCTACCAAATAGCTCCACAATCTAGGCCAGCCTATAAGCCAGTCGGCAAAACCATGGATTTTTCTTGAAAGTTGGATCTAAATATTTCTATATTTAGTATCAATAACCACCGGATTGACAGTAGACTATAGGCTATAGAGGTAAGCAAGAAGAGAAACGAACAGAGACCCCAGAAAAGGCCAAGAAAGCTGAAACAGAGTTCACCTCCAATAAAAATCACAGCCCCAGTGGAGTATGAGAAGAGTTCAATGGTGATTTGCTCCACAATTCAAAAACTTGGACTCATGTGAATTGCTGACCTATTGTTAAATGAAAAGGCATCAAAGTTCAGTTAGACCATGAGAAATATCTGAAAATCACAAGATGCAATAAATAGCAGCAAATAAAAATATACAAAATTAATGCTATGGTGAATTTAACGGTAAATGGTAATTAGGGTTTTGGATAGTGAGATACGAAAGAGATGATGGAGAAACGAAACAAAGAAAAATAACCCAGGAGCCTACAGTGACTAACAAGAATCTTATTCACAAGGCCATTTCTAATTCCAACAAAAACAAGTTAACTGTGTACCCTACTTGACAACAACAGTTTTAACAGCACAGGCCCACAAAGAATTTATCATACCATAACACCGCTCGTTTTATCCTCAAATTTTACAGTATATACAGGCTCCAAGCCTCCTAACTCTTTGTTTTTTCTCCCAATCTAACTAAACAGTAGAAATATCACATATAAACTATAAGATCAAGATCCAAAACAGAAACTTTCAAAATAAAAAAGGAGGTAAACGAATTCTGCAGAAACTTTCAAGTAGAAAATAAGCCAATGCGTCCCATTTGGGTCTCAAAAGTGAGGAGAAACTCAAATCAAACTATAAAATAATAATAATAATACCAACCAAAAAAGTTCAGATTTTTGCCAAATTCAGAACCCTCACAATAATCCTCTTAGACCTTCAATGCTAATCATGTTTGTTTCCATCAATGAAGTCTAAACAACAGCAAAACCTTTAGTAATACCTCAGTTATCAACCACAGAATTAAATACCCACCTGGGAAAAAACAAGCTTTCATTAAAGAAAAACAACCAGTAATGAAGGAATTTTTTTTTTTTTAAGTCTTGGTTTCATGGCTAAAAGGAAAAACCTAGGTCGAGATTCCTTCTCTTTTTCCCTGTCCAACCTCAGTAACTGTACAAAACGATAAAAGATGAAAGACTAGCAACAACTCAATTTCATAGTACTAGCACTGTCGAGATTTTGACATTGTAACTAACACTTAAAACTTTACTTTCAAAACTTGTACTACTTTAAGTATGAGAAAGTACAGGAAAAAAAAAAAAAAAAAACTATTGTTAAGAAAAAATTGAAAAAACCTTTACAGTGCAAAACCTTACTTCTCCCCCACATCCTTCTCTATATCACTGTAAATTTTAGAACTGCACTTAGAAACTAGCAAAAGCTGATAACTTTGCAATTTCAACTATGCTTCTATTGACAAAACCCACAAGTTCAATAAAACAGAATTAAGCGGCTAATAAGAACAAAAATTGGGAGTATCCAGAAATCAGATAAACCAAAAGAAAAAAACCCATGAAAGCAAACAAAAAAAATGAGTCAGAAAATAGCCTAAAAGGGAAACAAATTTACAAAGGGCAGCCATAGAAATTATGAATGATGTTGATGGGTTATCCTGAGGGAAAAAATCATGCCATCCATGAACAGGATGGGTCAATTGGTCCCATCTTCAACAATAACAACTTCTACTTGCTTACACATATAAAAAGACAGCTTGGAATTGAAAAAGGCTCACCCCAAGTTGCCACACACTGGAACCCTCAATACCCCATTAATATCTGACAAAAGATGGCAAAAAAGAAGACCCTTTTTGAGAGAAAAGTAAAAGAATTTGTTTTCTCTTCTTCTTCACTTTTTTTTTTTTTTTAAGTACTCAAAATGGACAAAACCCAATATATATGAAGATAAACATGACCAGTTTGCTGAGAGAAAAACAGCAAAAATAACATATTATATTTACTATATCATTATTGAGGCAGGTGAATGATTACCTTTGTGTTTTCTTCAACACATATATGAGTGAAAAATGAAGTAAAGTTTCAATCTTTTGATTGGTTGGCGCTGCCTTTCTTTTCAGTTTCTGATGAATGATAATGCTGCTGCTGTTGACACCAAAACAGTAAAAAAAAAAAAAAGTCAGTGTTTATTCATACTGGTGTTTTAAGACAGCAAGACAGTCAATAATTTTTTAGGATCATTTCTTTAATGGACGTATTGAATTTTCTTTTTTATTTTTTTGGATAATGGAATTTCCTATTTTATTTGCCTATGGATTAGGTATATATTTGATTTTTGTTATAAATAATTCCCTTCTTATAAAACAAATATCAATTATAATTTTATATATATATATATATATATATATATAAGAATACTGATGATGTAATTTTTATATGGTTAAAAAAAAAAAAAAAAGCATCAGCTAAAAGGAGAAACTACAAAAGAGTTTGGCATCATTCTTAACAAATTTCCCTGTCAAATTCTTATTATTTTGAATAAAATGGAAAATTCACAATCTTTGTAAACCCACCTATTGATTACATTACATCATCAATTATATCATCTTACCAGTTTGCATTACTTCTTTAACCAAATATGGTCATCCTTGGCTAGTTTCGTTCTAAACTTGGTCCAAACAGGTTTCTCCAAACAAATGGCTCCTCCATATATAAGGACTTTTTGAATTCAATTATATATAAAATAATTTAGTTTTGGTACCTAAAAATATGTTGGAAAATATTGGAACAGAAAAGAAAACAAAACAAAAGTTAATACCATTATTTAAAAAAAAAAAAAAAAAAAAAAGAGCTATAAATTGACACCCCAATTACGGACAGTGAGAATTGTTTCTAGTTTTTGTCTGTTCTTCAAAGTTTGCTTGCCTTTACTCAAAAGGGTTGTTTCTAGTTTTTGTCAACTATTCAAAGTTTGATTGCCTTCGTCCTAAGAGGGCTTATCTGAGTAATTATTTATGTAAATGATCTTAGATTTAAATATTTGTGTCTATAAATTTTTTTTTAATAATTATATTCGTTTTATATATTTAATCATGAAAGATTAATTTAGATCTTTATACGTGGCATATATTGAAGAAGAAGGGAAAAAAAAAAAAACTGGCGCTGAGCTCAGCAATCAACAGTTTCTATTTAGCAATTATTATACATTGTATGTATATATATAAGTCTAGATACATTGAGCAAGTTGTCGTGTCTTTATATGGACCAACAATTATTTGCCGCATAACAAAAAAGAAGGTCAAATAACTCAAGCTCCTCGAAACACATGTTCGGTTGGTTGTTTTGCAAGTGAATTCGCCCTTCCTTGCCAGTTGCATTTTCTTTACAATTGATTTCTTCTTTTTTTTAATGTTTTCAATCAAATATTTTAATACTGACAATAAGGAATGTTATTAATCAAATCAAATGTTTGATTTGATTTGATGGGATACTTGATTTGATTTAACCAAATACAAAGCATTCTGGTAATTTTATGTAGTTTTTCTTCTTAACAAAAGAAAGAAAATCAACGGAGAATCTTTCATGAAAAATAACTTTGTGAATTCTAATTTTAAAATTGCTCGATAAATAATTACAATTGACAAAGTGATAATCTATCGGTGAGTAAATATTAATTTATAAGTTAAATCTAAAATTTAATTTTTATAATCAGTATTTTAAAAAATATTTCTCACAATACATAGAGAATGTACGTACGCGAATATCAACTTATCAAACTCAATAAGAAATTAGTTTTAAGATACGAAAAAGCTGATCCGAAAATATTTTTATTGCTGAACCAAAAACAAAAATTACTGAATAAATAACATAACTTATTGAATTCAATAGAAAAGTTGAATTAATAGGATGGATAAAGATGAAACTGGAATCTAAAATTTTATTTTATTCAATATCAAAGAATGTTATCCAACTTGAAGAAAACGTACTTAGAATTTAATTTTAGACATATGCTTCTATTACATGTCGATAAAAAAAATAAAGAAAAAAGGTAACAACCTGAGAAATAAAGCATGATATTTTCTTTCAACTTGAAATCATAATTCATAAAATTGGGCAGGCGCAAAAAGTGGATAATTGTCAAACTTTAGGGGCTAACAAAGCACATGGTCACAAGAAAAAGCAGTCCGTAGTTTTGGATAATTTCTAATCTCTTTTTTGGCCCCACGGATTTCATTCTTTTTTCTTCAATATTGTATGAACTTTATAACCTATTATCAATTCCAATTCTTACCAAGTTTGTGTTCCTAAATTACTTTCAAAAAAGAAGAAGATATTTTAACATGTCATCATGTAAAACACTTGTCCTCAAAGGACCCAAATCATGGAAGCTTTAGCCTTTGGGTTTTGTCTTCTCAAGCCTGTTTTACAAGTTTAATACTTGTCGACTTGTTGGTCCTTTAATGGGCCATTGTTCTGCTAATGACCCAATTTTGCAATCGGCAGGCCTTTTACCCTTTATAACGGAAGATCACTCATTGTTCCCCTTTTGTTTGGGTCTCTCAATTTTATGGGCTGAATCTGAAATTCTCAAAATTAGGGAGTTATGGGCCGAATTGAAATATGTTAGTTGGGTCCTTTCTGGGGCTTGTTCTGTTTAAGTTTTAAACTCTAGCCCATGTTCTAATCATCAGGCCTCTCCTTTTAAATCTCATTAATTATCATCATTATGAACCTACTTCCAACTATTTTATTCCACTAATTAATTTGAAACCTTACTCACCACCTCCAAACTACTCGTAACTCAATTTTTCTTTCTTTATTTTCTTTTTAGGTGGGCTCTCTTGCTTTTCTATTTTTTTTAATTTTTAATATTTAAATTTCAATGAAGCAATCATAAATATGTTAAA